ATCTGAGAAAGAGGAAGAACTTGATTTTGAACAAGAATTGTTAAGGTATGAAGAACTGTTTAAATTGTTATGTAAAAACTCTAATGTATTTTTAATGATGTTATCATAGATAAGGAAATAGATAGAAAACTTGGGTGATATTCCGGAGTCAACGAAATAATAGTACATTACGACGCTAGAGGCGCTAGTGTTCATAGCAGGTTTTAGAACTTTTTGCAAAAGGTTTAAATACCAGATAACTTTGGTTTATGTACATGCCGATAGATGCTTTCTTGACATATTTTCTTTTTTGAATTATTAACGGTTCTTTTAATGCTCAATAATTGCTATATAAAAACATACTTGTAAAGAATATTTAGAAGTTTGGCTCTGAGACTGTTTTCGACACAAACATCTTGCATAAAAAAATCGACTACGTTGCTGCATTTACAAAACAAATCATAAAATTTCTTCCCTGCTACGAAAAAAGATTTTCCAGTGTAATCTCTTGATTTAATGTAAGACGGCTTATCATCATTGATGGGTTCTGATAAGATGTCAGATGTACATGTCGAGCATTTTTTAACTAACTTCATTAACTTTTTGGCGTAAAAACCAGCAACATATGCGTTTGCTGTTTCCTCGTACGCATTCAAATCTCCGAAAGGAAAAAAATCAGGAATAATAGTTTCCTGCTCAAGGGCTGCAATATCATTTGGGTCTTTATCATCAATTAAAAATGTTTTAAAGGGGCCGAATATGCCAGTATTATCATCATCTTCACAATTTGCAGACGGTGAATGATATGATGACAAATTATTAATTATTAAGGTTTTGAAGGCTGCAATAAAATTAAAGCAATTCAAATTAGTGTTACAAGCGCCCTGGCTTCTGACAATACTAAACAAAATTTCCAGGGGATCCTGGTTGAAATATCTTAAACATAAATGATCAAACCCCGCCTTATTTAATTTTGACCAAATATATCGTAAACGCTTGAGAGTATCAATCCAATTTTTGACGCATGGTGGTTTTGTTTCTGATGTAGCAGACCCCTTCTTTCTAACAAAATACAAAGAAATCAATACTTGCTCCGCATCTATCCCAAATTTTAAATGTTCTGATTCATTTGTTATAGCGCATCGGAGATAGTTACCCGTTTTTAGACTTATTGATACTCCGTTAACGCTGTCAAACAAGCAGTCCATGAACTTCAAAAATTCACTAGTGTCATAGGTAGTTACCGAAGCATCAACCCTGGTAAAATATGAATTTTGAAATCCAATGGCTACACGCTTTGAGAACACTTGTACCGCTAATGATACCTTCATGACTTTCCAACATTTTTGATAAATATGTTGAGCGGTTAAAGTGTGACAACATCGATATATGCTTAAAACTTAGAGTCATACTCATAAAAACTCAGAATATCACTCCAAGCAGCTTCGAGTTGTACCCCCTTTGTGCTGGTAAATTTAACATTACATTTTGCAAAGTTATTCCTCATACACTTCAACATATGTGGAGGATCAAACAAAGGAACTATTTAATGTCCGTTTATTTCGAATTCTAATCTATTATCATCATTATTTACTAACATAACGTTTATTAGTCTCATTTATAAGCATGCTAACAGCTTTGCGATTTGCGGGGTATTGATCGCAAACTGTTGCCACAATGTTTAAATCAATACTAAGTAATTTTTTTACTACTTCTTCAATGCAGCATTTCAAATTGAAAGCATTCACACCACCATCAGGAAAATAAAAAAACAACTGGCCATTTCTACTTGTTCTTTAAACCCTTAATCATAAACACCAGTGCGTGGTCAGCAAATGCTTCAATTTTACCATTAGCAAGCTCTTAAAAGCTACAATATAATCTTTTGTGCAGTCATATGTTAGGAAAGTTAAAAGTGAAATTTCGTCAAACATAACAACGCAATAATTATCTTTATCATCACTCAGATGAGATAATGATGATTGCAATGTTTTAAAAATGCTTTCGTTAATGCCACTATGCATTGGAACTTTTGTAAGTAACTTTCGCGAAGATGTTATCGAAGGCAAAATAAATATGTCTCCAGAATCTATAAGCTTTTGGACTTTTCTTTGGTAGAGACAAAGCAAGTACTTTTTCGTCTGTAGTGAATCTCCTTCCTTGAACTTTTTCGAGTGTTCTCTAAGCTGACATGTTATGAATTGACGTGCTCGTTCGTTCAAGGTTTCAGGAATGTGGGAAAATTGTTTCGCATACATCACACTTCGACGTAGCCTTGTATGACTTACATTTTTTTTTGTATTCTGAGCATGTCCTTTTTCATTTTTTTGATAAAAGGTATAATTTTTTTGCCTTTGGTGTCAGACAGGACACTCGTTTCACTGAAAATAAACATGATTTAGCATTATTTTTAAATAGAGAGACTATTGAATAGTGATGATTTTTATTATATTTATTCACCCGTATTACGTGTTGGCTTGACATGTCCCTGATTTTCCATTGTATTGGACACAAATTCTTTATTTGCTACAACTTTATCAAAACTTGCAGAACGTTCCTTACTGTTATTTTGTGGCAAGCTTTCCGAAGTATAACTTTCCGCCTGGTTGGAAATGTTATTTGTGCTCAAACAATGTTCTCCCAATAATCGATAATTAACAGTTTTCTTTTTAATTGTTTTCATATTAATACCAAGCTCTAAAAATTATGAAAAATATATGATTTTACTGTATATTAAACTTTATTTTTTTATTGAAAATACTTACGAAACGTTGCTCTATCCAAAAGGCAATTTTCTTCGTCATATGGGTCTCCATGAAATCCTGAATATCCTCCATATCCTGAATAGACAATAATAGCTGACAAATTGTTAACAAAATATATACATTTGCATATTATATAACATTACATTCTTTGCAATACTAACCAGGCATATTTAAAGTTGGCAAAGCGTTAACTTCAAGATTTGTCATATTTTTCTTTTGTGGCTGTGTTTTGCAACAATCTGCAAAATGATTGTCGCAAACAAATCGATTTATTCGCATTTTTTCAATCTCCACATCATCCAATTTTGAATTATTCACTCGCCTAATCCAAATCTCATACATCTATAATATTTTGCTTTTGAACCTATTGAAGAAACACAATATTACATTTTACATACCTTGTCATTCCTTGTTGGAAAACCATGTAATCTCACTATTTTCTTATTTCCTACGCAACCAGGAAATAACCCTAACACCCTCACTGCACTTTTATAACTTTATATAGAAAATTCTTTAAACTTCACCAACTAATCGAAAATTATATCAGAACGAACTACGAACGTAATGGGGATTTACTGGATTTTCCGGCACAGTATGGAGAAGGGGTTTATGGGAGGGATTGGAATTGCTCGTATTCATCATAGCGTTCGACTTACGCATGACGGGAGTGGATACTCGCGACATCTGCGCTAAGTAGCGTCGTAAGCGCGAATCATGCAAGCGATCACGGACATTTGTTAGAAGTTTGCGCCTCATGGATGTTATTAACTAAATTTGACGGACAAAAATTATTATTCAAAACAGAACAAATTAAAATTAGGATTTTTTCCCTAAAAAATCTCTTATATATTTAAACTACCATTTCTATCACCCCAAATCGACTAAGATTGCATCTATCATCAACTTATTAGATCATGCCATCCTTCTTTCTCATCCATCACATTGGGAAAAAATATTAATTTAATATATTCTACCCTTCAAAATAATTCCTATCCACTACAACTTTTACGCTCAGTAATAAATAATAGATTACCTTTTCTTCGTAATAAATTCCGTACATCTTCCTTATTTACCTCCCAATCACAACAAAATAGTATCATTTCACAAACCCTTAATCCTATTTCTGAAAATTCACTATCTCTCAATTCCTTCATCTCATTACCGTATATTGACTGCCTTTTTCACTCCTGGAAAAAACTTTTTTCATCCGTAGGTCTGAAGCTAGTGTGTTCGACTGGACACACTCTCACAGACATATACACTAATTTAAAAAATCCTACCCCTATTTGCCGCACGTCAAACGTCGTATATGTCATTGATTGTAATGATTGTTCAAGTTGTTATGCTGGAGAAACTTCACAATTTCTCTCAAAACGAATGCGCCAACACGAACTTAATAGTTTAAACAGGAAACAAAATAAAACCATGATCACCGAACATGTCTCCAACTTTAAACATTCTTTTAATTTCACCAATCTAAGAGTTATCCATCGAGAAGCCAACACTTTACGCAGAAAGTTCGCTGAGAGTATTTTCATACAAATATTACCTGCCATTAACAAACGATTTGATTCGGCTTCATTTTGCAATATCTACCGCGATGCTTCCAATAATTTTTTCAATATGCGCAATACATCCTAACACTTCTTTTATGTATATATATGTATGTATGTGTATATATGTGTATGTGTATATATATATATATATGTGTGTGTGTATATGTGTGTATGTGTATATATATGCATATATGTATATTTATTTATTTATTTATTTATTATACGCCAATCAGCTATATACAGTTAATTATATAGTAATGTAACACATACAAACACACATACGGGCACCTATACATACACTCGTACATACATACGTCCGCACATGCACTTATATGTAGACTCAAACACACTACTAATGCTAACAAATTCTAATAAGTATTATTTCTTTTGACAATGTTGATAAATGTATTATGTGATGAATCAAAAAAGTTTAGTTTTGAGCACTGTTCATTGACCACCATTGCTACTCTGTTCATTGGACCGTTCAATATATAGTTTTTCGTCGTTTTTGAAGTCTGCACAATACGGTTTGTTCTTAATCCTTGTCTCGAGCATATCAAATTAATTTTTGCTAGAATCTCAGGAGAATCAATTGAGCCATTTACTGTCTTATGAAAAAAAATAAGATCAGTAATTTGTTGTCGTTTGCTTAGGTTAATATCCTCGCATTTCAGTAAAAAAATTTCGCTTTCATGTGCACTTATTCTTTTTGATTGCGCAAAGTGCTTAAGGTATTTTTCAAATTTCCTTTGTTAAGTTTGTTGCTTGATAATTCAGTGTGAGGTGCCCAAACTATGGAGTTATATTCTAGAAAAGGCCTGACGAGTGTGGAGTACAGAATGCATAGTGTGTCTATGCTGTGGAAATCTCGACCACTCCTGATGATGAAGCTAAGTGTTCTTAGGGCTTGAAGAGAAATTTTGTTAATATTCTGTGAGAAGTTTAATTTAGTGTCAAAAATAACTCCAAGATCTTTTATAGAAGTCACTGAATTTATTTTTTGGTTTTCTAAATGGTGATCTTGTTGAATTGAATTATGGGATCGAGATAGTATCATTACTGCGCATTTTTTAGCATTTAACTTGAGTTTATTACTTATACACCAGTTGTTCAATTGCGCAATGTCTTGTTGTAACGATAATCTATCATCATCACAATTTATAGTTTTATAGATTTTTGGTGTTGATATTTATGGACAAGGCTGGGTGATGAGCGTCCTCATGAGTTAAAGCATGAGAACGCTCTACAGTTGCGTGTATATTACTGAAGCACAAGTCAAGCGTTTTTCCACTATGATTTTGAATGTTGTTAAATTGCCGATAGTTTAGTAGTGACAACTCTTCATAAACCAAGCACGAAGAATGTTCTTGCGGTAGGCTGCTGAGTAAATTATAATCGCCTGCGATTAATATACTTGCTTTTGAATATTTTTTGGATACTGATCTTATTGCAGATATATGCTCTTTATAAATTTCTACAGTTGATTTAGAAGGTAGGTAAACACAGCAGATAATTAGGTCGTGTGGCGCAGTTTTAATTTTAATTTTTCATATTATTATTGGGAAGTGCAAGCAACTCCGTTGAAAGACTCCGCTTCACTGCCACGAATACACTACCACCTTTCATTTTTATCACTGATTTGATCTCTATCGCACCTAAAAATCGCATATGTGTTGTCGATTACCTCGCCATCAGCAATATCAGACTTTAGCCATGACTCTGTAACACAAATTACATCACTCACACTCACAGAAGATGACGCTCGAAACGTGTTCAGTTTTGTTCTAAGACCCCTAGTGTTTTGATAGTAGATTGATAAGCCGCGTTCAAGATGTTCTTTCCTGCGATGACCCGCGGAAGGAGTGTAGCTTCACTATTTTAGGGACACCATTTATATATTTGATCGTTTTGTCTGCGTTTTCCATATCTGAGTTTAGTTCGTTTCGCAGCATTTTCAGATGACTTAATTGTCTGGGCGTCATGTCATGTTTCATAGAAATCCCATTTGTATGTTTAGTTTTTATTCAGATTCGGGCGGTTGTTTCGGATGGGGTTTCAATTAATAATGGCCTGATTTTACCTGTGGTTGGTTTTCCAAGACGACGAACTTTGATGTCTTTTGTTGCAATTTGTGTGTCTTGTGGCAAAAGCTTAGTAATACTTGTCAAGTCGTCTTGTAATCTGTCCTGTCCATTAGTTTCATTTGACTCTATTACGTTGAACACTATTACATTTTTTTCGCGTCTCTTATGATCGTTAAATTCGGCGTACATATCATCTGCACTTACAAACTGTTCTTCAAGCGTTTTAACTTTCTCCTCAACAGATGTCACTTGTGTTTTCAGTTGCTTACATATATTATTAACTAAATCATTTTGTTCCGAAATTTTCAGAAGTTCCGTTCTAATGGCGGTAAGATTGCTTTCAACCTCACTTTTGAACGGAATAAAGTACTTACGAAATAACTTTTCCATTTCACTAATGCTAGAGTCATCTCTGTCGTCTGACGTCGTGGCCCTAACCTCACTTTTGCAAAGATTGTATTTCCATTCGTTGCCGTTTATTCTGTTATCCGTCACAATTTTTTTTATGTCTTTAGATTTAATTTTTAAACACTTAGCGTGGAACCACCTTTCACAACTCACACACTGTATATTAGAAATATTGTCATTAATTTGCTCAGAGCATAAATCACACACGAGTTTACTAGGCGCCATCTTGTCACTTGATGTGTATATATATATGTGTGTGTTTACATTTATGTGTATATGTATGTGTGCATGTGTTTGTATATATATATGTATGTGTATGTGTATACATATATGTAATTGTTGTTTTGCGTATATATACATATATATATATTTTATGTTATAATTTTTTATATAATAACTTGCTCCATAACTAATATCGTTTTATAGTTAATATTTATACTTTTGCTTAATAAATTTCTCTTCATCACATATTCATCATAGTTTTATTATATTTCTATATTTTCATTTTTATCCACATATTATGTTTAACCGTTGATTATGGATTGTTTCTACATGCCATATTTTTTTTATGTTCCTACTGCGCATGATCGTTGAGAAAATCTTCGTAATATGAAACCACTAAAATTCTCTCTATCCCGTTCTCTCATCCAATGACGATACAGTTTCCACTATTTTCCGCAAACACGTACGCACACATTTTACTCTCGTACACACACGTAATACACACTCCAAGCTGACAACATGTTCGTTTGGAATAAACTTTTTTATAACAAAATATATTATTTATTTTAATTTTAAATTTTTCTAAAATTTATCAAAACTCGACGTTCTATCAATTTTTTGTTTCATTTTTTTTTTTTTTTTTTTTTTTTTAAAAAAAACAAGTGCATGTCAGATTGAATTTTACGGTTTATTAAAATTGCATGAAAAGCTTACAAAAGTGTACAGATAATTAAATAATTGCTTACAAAAAACCATACATAATCGAGACTCTAATGTGCGTTTGTGGAATCAAGAAAATGTCTTACATTTCAATCAAGATATAGTAGCGAATATGGAATCGGACAGTAAACCATCAGAAATCCCAAAACTTCGAAAGACCGTTATTGGATCCAGCAAATACAGCAAGATACCTCGCGAAGAAGGTCGGACCAATATGTTTACATCGGAAAAGGTCTCGCTGCGTTCAACTTCATCAGTTTCTGACTCAAGACAGGAAGTAATATCATCTAGTAATAGTGCATCTACAAGCCTCACTCAACCACATTCTGATGTCAAGAAACCTCCTAATTCATGGCAAGTAGTCAATTTCAAAAAAAGAAAAACTTCATTTGAACCATTAGGAATAGATGTCAAAATTCAAAACAGATTTTCGGCCCTTTCAACAATAGAAACAGCTAATGATGACAACTCAGTTAAACCGGCTCCAGTCAGTAAGCCCCCTCCAATATTTATTTACGGAGTTGACGATATTAATGATATGTCTAATCAATTAAATGAAATAATTCCGCACGATCAATATTTCCTGAGAAGTTTAGCTAACAATACATTTAAAATTCTATGTAATTCTGTCGACCATTTTCGAACTTTATCCAGACATCTAAAAGAAACTAATGCCGTATATCATACATATCAATTAAAAGAAGAGAAGGCTTATAGGGTTGTTCTTAGAAATGTACACTTTTCAACAAGCACAGATGCAATTAAATTAGAACTATTAAAACAGGGTCATGTAGTACGTAATATCCTAAATATTAGACATAGAATAACAAAAGAACCTCTTAATATGTTTTTTGTTGATCTGGAACCAAATAGAAATAACAAAAATATTTATAACATTTATAAATTATTCAACTGCATAATACGCGTCGAACCACCGAGAAAGTCCAACAACATTATACAATGCACTCGCTGTCAACTCTATAATCACACCAAAAAATACTGCAATAGACCATTTGCTTGCCTAAAATGCGGTGACAATCATAATACTAATGCTTGTACCAAAGATCCGAATGCTCCGGCATGTTGTTATTTTTGCGACGGTGCTCATCCAGCTAATTATCGCGGTTGCTCATACTTCCAAAAAATTAAAGAACAAAGAAACAAAACTCCAGTAAATCAATCAGTCATAAATCCAAATCCAAATAACCAAAATTTTAAAAATTATAATAATTCTAATTCTAATAATAAAATAAACAACATTTCTCCGGTCTTAAATCCAACAATTCAAAATTCATCCTATGCAGACATTGCAAAAAACAATTACTCTGCTTCTAATCATTCACCTTCAAATCCCGATTCTGATTCTCTAGCAACACTTATTTTAGAATTTAAAAATATCTTCAATCAGCTTTTGCAACAGAACACCATAATAATAAATATGTTATCCACGTTAGTCAACAACAAAAGCAATGGCAAAAATAATTAAAATTGCTGAATGGAATGCCAACGGTTTAATACCTCACAAAAATGAAGTAGAATGTTTTTTAAAGTTAAACTTAATAGATATCTTATTAATCTCCGAAACTCACTTCACTGAAAAAAACTACTTTAAAATTTATAACTACACTACTTATAATTCAAATCACCCAAGTGGCAGGGCTCGCGGCGGTTCGGCTATATTAATCAAAAATAATATAAAGCATTTTGTTCTACCAAATATTTCTGATGATTTTCTACAAGCAACTCAAATTTCTGTTGAAACAAATTTATATAATTTTTGTGTTTCTGCTGTTTATTGTCCACCAAGATTCAAAATTTCTTGTGCTCAGTTTTCTTCATTTTTCTCTCAATTAGGTAATAAATTTATCATTGGTGGTGACTTTAATTGTAAACATATTGCCTGGGGTTCTAGACTGACTACAGCCAAAGGAAAGATTCTTCATGCAGCCATAGGGCAAAATAACCTCTCCTTTATTTCAACTTGCAGTCCAACTTATTGGCCTTCTGACCCTACTAAAGTTCCAGACCTTTTAGATTTTTTTATTGTGAAAGGTATTGATCTTTCAAATCTCAATATTGAATCTAGTTACGATCTCTTTTCAGATCATTCTCCAATACTTGTGACGTTTAGCACATTTCCTACTCCAGTTATCAACAATCATATTCTACACAACAATCTTTCTAACTGGATTCAATTCAAATCCATACTTGATTCAAAATTATTTCCAAAATCTAGGCCTACAAGCGTTATTGATATAGAAAATAATATAGATTATTTTTCTGAGATTATACGTGAAACAACCAAGCAGATCACCCCGAACATTATTCCAAGAAATGATAATCTAATAATTCCGCAAGAGATTAAGAAGCTAATTGCACAGAAACGAAGAGCAAGACGTACCTGGCAACATTCTCATCTACCAACGGATAAGACATCGCTTAATCATCTCAATAACACGCTGAAGAAAAAAATGAAAGAATGGAAGAATTGTACATTCAGGTCGTATATATTGCAGCTAAATAGGTACGATAATTCCATATGGAAACCAATCAGAAACAAAAGTAAACCCCTACAACAAAACCCTCCTCTGAAAATAACCAACCAAAACGGATTCATTTGGGC